CATGTTAGGAATTTAACACATATATTCAGGCATACATTAAGTCTCAGAAAGCCCGCAACTTCCATGCATCCTGTAAGTATAAAGACTATTTCCAACATGGTATAAGTATTCGTTTTTTCAAAAATACTAAGGAATAGACTCTTTAGGTATAACTCAACTTTGAAAAACAGGAGATAAGCACACCTTGACACTCTACAAAAAGGGATGGAGAAGAAGGGAGAGAGAGGAGGTAGAAACAGAGAGAGGGATGGAGAGGGGAGAGGGAGGCTGGAAGAAAGAGAAAATGTTAAGAGCTTTATAAAATACTATGTATTTAAATTTGCCACTATAAAAATACATTCACAGTTACCACTAATAATTTCCTTGTTTAAAAGGCTCTTTCATTTCATTCAATATTTAATTATACTATATAGTTTTAAGGGATCACTGATTATCTCAGTGTTACACACACACACACACACACACACTACACACTACACAAATACAGTCTTGATTTTCCTACATTTTAGTGTTGTAGCTTGAAAAACGATCGTGCTGGTGTCTTAATCAAAGTTTTCTCTACTTCCACCTTGAATACAATACCCAGACTTTAAATAGGAATAATTTTAAGACTAGATAATCCAGTTATCTTAGGTCACCCTTACATGGCCTCTAAATGTGGATTCCAAAATCTAAACATTTCCTCAACAGACAAGAATTTTAAAGGGCAGAAACCCTAACACCTGATTTGGGGATGAAGCAATGCATGTTGTCGCCAATCTTACTGACTATTTGCCCGGTGACCGCCTTCGCCATCCTGTGAGCATTCTCTCCTACACACCCTAGGAGGTGGAGATCAACCATCGATCGCACAGTTGTGAGTCGCGGGGGAACCTGATATCCTTTATTAACCAAACAAAAACCTTATAACCTGATCCTGCACTATGGCCATAAATGCCGCAGCTGAGGCTGTGAGAGCGGCTCTCAGAGAAAGGGAGGAGGACACCCTGTCTGCTCAGGATCGGCTTACTCTGCAACCGAGAAAGGGCTCACTTTGAAATAAGTATACCCTGCTTGGGGGCTCAGAATTTATGCATCTGTACTTTTGACCACGACAATTTTATTGCACGTCCCGGAAGCAGAACAATTAAAGTGGCACTCAGACGGGAGTCTTGCTTCTGAAAACCTAACATCGCCACCGAATGACTGGATCTGGGCAACTGCGTTTTATGTAAAAATTTAATAGGTCGTATGTTGTGAATTACATACAGTTTTATATTCACTGAAATCAACTGCTTATAGCCTGCTTCTTCCTGAATGAGGCTGGAAAGAATGGAGGAGTCTAGGAAGGCTGGGATTTAAATAAAAGATATTAGATCCTTCTGTTCCCAGGCTGAAACAGGGATTAGAATAACACATTTAAATACCTTAATGTTTTTAGCACAAAAAGCATTAATTCGATACTCTGCTTCCTTGAAATGCTTTATTAAGGCCCCCAAGACCCTCTTGAGAGTGTCTGCCTTCCTTGAAGTTAATGTACATTTATTGTTCTCCCCTGCAAACTTCACTAGTATTTCAAAACAGCGTGCCTGGCCTCTGCTTGCAGGGAAGGTGGGAATAGGAAACAGAACTGAGAGGAAAGCTGAGAAGCGTTCGAGTTTTGACATTTCAGAGCAAGCTTACGCCCCTTCAGGACCAGGCGTCATGAGCTCATGCACCACTGAAAATTAATGAGATCATGGTGCTCAATGGGATGATTTTAATTAGACCTGCTCTTCCCCTGTCACCCGTGCCTGGAACCAAAGCCATCTATCTGATCAGCAAGCCAATAAATAAGCCACCCCGTGCTCTGGAAAAAGTGGGGCAGCCTGTCCACCTCTGACCTTCACCTCAATCCTAATCCAAGCAACCAAGAGTCCTAAGGGCCACAGGACGGCAGTAGCCATCCATCCACCATGCACAGGAGAGGAGGCAGCTAGTTCACAGATTAGCACATCTCCTTTTTCTTTAGTGTGACAGTGGAATCTGTTGTGTGGGGATGCAGGTAAGTGAGAAAGGGCTCTTTCTGTCAAGTAGCGTACACCTCTCCTCAAACTTACGCCTGAATTTAATAAGCCACTAATTCTTTAACAGCAGGAAATGAGGCTGCTTTTCTTTTTCATTACCATGTATGTAAAACTGTCTAAAATGTCTTGCTTCTGAAAACCTAACATCGCCACCGAATGACTGGATCTGGGCAACTGCGTTTTATGTAAAAATTTAATAGGTCGTATGTTGTGAATTACATACAGTTTTATATTCACTGAAATCAACTGGTTATAGCCTGCTTCTTCCTGAATGAGGCTGGAAAGAATGGAGGAGTCTAGGAAGGCTGGGATTTAAATAAAAGATATTAGATCCTTCTGTTCCCAGGCTGAAACAGGGATTAGAATAACACATTTAAATACCTTAATGTTTTTAGCACAAAAAGCATTAATTCGATACTCTGCTTCCTTGAAATGCTTTATTAAGGCCCCCAAGACCCTCTTGAGAGTGTCTGCCTTCCTTGAAGTTAATGTACATTTATTGTTCTCCCCTGCAAACTTCACTAGTATTTCAAAACAGCGTGCCTGGCCTCTGCTTGCAGGGAAGGTGGGAATAGGAAACAGAACTGAGAGGAAAGCTGAGAAGCGTTCGAGTTTTGACATTTCAGAGCAAGCTTACGCCCCTTCAGGACCAGGCGTCATGAGCTCATGCACCACTGAAAATTAATGAGATCATGGTGCTCAATGGGATGATTTTAATTAGACCTGCTCTTCCCCTGTCACCCGTGCCTGGAACCAAAGCCATCTATCTGATCAGCAAGCCAATAAATAAGCCACCCCGTGCTCTGGAAAAAGTGGGGCAGCCTGTCCACCTCTGACCTTCACCTCAATCCTAATCCAAGCAACCAAGAGTCCTAAGGGCCACAGGACGGCAGTAGCCATCCATCCACCATGCACAGGAGAGGAGGCAGCTAGTTCACAGATTAGCACATCTCCTTTTTCTTTAGTGTGACAGTGGAATCTGTTGTGTGGGGATGCAGGTAAGTGAGAAAGGGCTCTTTCTGTCAAGTAGCGTACACCTCTCCTCAAACTTACGCCTGAATTTAATAAGCCACTAATTCTTTAACAGCAGGAAATGAGGCTGCTTTTCTTTTTCATTACCATGTATGTAAAACTGTCTAAACAAAGAGGCACATTTGTCTAAACCCACAGGGTGAGCCCTAATGTAAACTACAGCCAGTGGGGGATGGTGATGTGTCAGTGATGTGTCAGGTCACCAGTTGTAACAAATGGCCCACTCTGGTGGGGACGCTGGTGGTGGGGCAGGGTCTGCATGTGAGGGGGTGGGGGGCATAAGGAGAATCTCTGTGCCTTCCCTTCAGGTTTGCTGTGAACCTGAAACTGCTCTAAAAAAAATGAAATCTGTTGGGGAAAAAAAAGCAGCAGCGTTCTAACATTCCCAAAAACGGAATATGAAAATGACTCGCCATATTTCTGTATGTCTGCTCAAGTCCTTGCAGAATGACAAAGATTGACAGACAGACGTCAGGCAGACAGGGCGGGACATCCTGAAGCAGAGTGACCAACCACGTGAGGGTCTGTGTAAAGAGAGGAAGGACATAAGCCCCAAGGCATGGTGCACCCACAGAAGAAATACATTACAACAGCCAAATATAATCGTCGTCAACTGCACAGCCAAGCTTAATTTGTAAGTTGCTCTTCTACCGAAGATCAGCCCACTGGCACTTCTCTGGATACAGTCTTAGTGTAGTTAGCTGTGTACCTGTCTCCGTAATTATTGGGCTACGAGCTACCAGCTTTAGGGATGTGTTTTACTCATCTTTAAATCCCAGAGCACCAAATGCAACAGCAACAAACAAATGTTTGTTTAATTACCCATCTTTTAATGATGTCTTTGGACTTCAAACACAGCTCCTTCTCCTCCTTAATTATGATTGTTTCCATTTCATACTCAAGGACACATTTTTCATACTAAATGAATAATGATCATCTTGCAATTTTGATCAAAGAAAGTGAAAGATTAAGAGTATTTGTTTATTAACGCCTGTTCAGAGAAGCCCAGATCTCAACTTTTGAGTCCATCCGGAGGCTATACTTTACAGAGTAAATTAATATACATTCAGCCATGTCTATCAGGTTACTGCCTTTTGTAAGCCACAGCCACCACCTAAAAATCAAGTTGGCCATTTTGGGGGTTTGATAGGCAGGGCCGATGCTGCCAGCACCTGCCACAGTCACCTTGGCTGGCAGCTGCCGTGGACTACACCCTGTCTCTCCTTTTCATATATACAAACACACACAGATACACAGTATCTCATGAAACCTAATTGGTGTGCACTATAGATAGAATCTAAAGTAGTGCTACCTTTGGTGTTACAATTGTTTTTCAAGCAATGAGGCACAAACGGTCCATCACCCACTTCCATGACCCAGTGTCCAAGGCAAGGTGACCAGCACACACCAGGCCTTCGTTTGTGCCCCCAGGACATGAAGGTGAAACAAACATGCCCTGGGACAATGAAGCTATAAGGCATGGCTTTCTTTCTGTTTTGCTATAACAGCCAACACCCAGAGTTGTACAAGATTCGGAACCAGATTCTGTGACCTCAGGTCCACAGTGATAATGACCTCCATCGGGGGAAAGCCCTTAAGGGTCCTCCAGCTGTTAAGAAAATTCTACCATTCCTCTAACAGCTCCCTGCATGCCCTGGAAAGTTAGTTCTCTTCCAGGTATTTAGTGTGCGCGCTGTGAAAGCTGTGGAGAAGAAATAACTCAGGCAATGGGAATGGGATCTGTGGGGGTCTGGGGGTGGACTGCACTTCTGTGAGGGGAACTGGAAAATGGGGTATAATGGGATCCTTGCCTCAACTTGCGTTGAGGAAGATGTGCAACTTCCCTGGTTCCGTGTTTGTCCTGTGACCAACAATGAGGATTTCTAATGTTTATTAAACTCTGAAACCTATACCGCTATTTGAAAATACATGGAACACTTCACAAATTTGCGTGTCATCCTTGTGCAGGGACTGTGTTTATCTTCTCTGAATTGTTCCAATTTAGTATATGTGCTGCTGAAGCGAGTGTTAAAGCCTTTACTTTTAAGTTGAAAGCAAAAATGTGAGACTCTAATAATAATAATAGAGGAGCAGTGGCAAATGTTGACTTAACGTGTGCTATTTTTTCATCCGTAACTGGGCTAAGTGCCTTCCCCACACAGCTAATTTAATCCTCACTGCAACTAAGAAATCGAAACTGTTGTTCTGACCACCTCATGGATGAGAAAAACAAGCTCAGAAAGGCTGACACAGTGTGCCCAAGGTCACCACCACCTAACAAGCAGCCAAGACAAGACCTGAACACAGTCATCTGGCCCCAGGGTCTGCACGCTCAGCCACCCTGCTGCGCTTTGGCTACTATGGAAACACCTGTTTGGAAGCTTCATGCAGTTCTGCTGAGCAGCCAGGCCAGGCCAGGCTGGGGCAGAGAGCACAGGCCAAGGGGTACTCCCGGTGCTGTGAAACTCTGAGAGTTAGTTACCTTATCCTGATTCTCAGGTCTCTGCTTAGATTTTGGGGATGTCACCGATACCGTTACAAGACAGCCATCAAGAATGAATAAATGTTAAAGGTGGATAAGTATTTGGAAAGTGTGCGTGTGGCAGGGGCAACCCATATCTTGATTTGTACCTGGCTCACGGAACTCAGTACCGAGGACCACTCATCACCCCTCCACTGAGAACACCATCTGGGCTGCATGCCAGGTCTGGCTGGAAATGTCCCCCCATAAGTTCTGGGCTTGGGCCCCTCAGGGTGTTCAGGATGGAGGTTATGTCAACCCAACCAGGAGCGAAGAAAATTTTGGCTGATGTGTCCATGTTTGAATTGTCCCATAATGGATTGTTTCCATGTATAATTTCATATAATGTTCTTTATACCAACCTATTAAGTTATGTAATAATTCACAGTGATGTTCATACAGACTGAATATGAATATATGTAAATGCAAATAAGATTGGCATTCTTGCGGGGTGAAGACTATGCCTTTAATCGTCCACACATCCAACACAGTGCCTGGTATACGAGAGCTGCTGCTGCCCTACCTACGTCAGTCAGGTGGAGGGGCAGCAGAAGCAGTCCCGAGACTCACTCACAGGGCAAGGACGGGCACGGAGGTTTGGGGCAGGGAGCAAATGAGGGACCGAGTGTGAACTTGGTTGGTGGTGGCACACCTTTCTCGGTAGTTCTGTGCCTGGGGGAAGCTGGGAGCGAAACTGAGGAAGGCTGCGTCTAAGGTCGGAACTGTAGTGTATCGGAGCTCTCGAATGATTAGAGCTGTGATGAACCCTGTCCTTGTGCCCCAAAACAGTGTCAGCTGTTCACTGAGATAAGTGACAATCCCACGAAAAGCTTGAAACCATTACGAGCATGACCTTCTCAAGCCACCACTCACATACTGGAAATAGTTTTATTCTTACTGTCATTTCTTTCTCTCATCTCCAAAAGCAAACGAAAACAGCAACTGACCCAACTGGGATGCAATTAATACCACTGGAAGTCTACAGTCAATTTTACTCTTTCTAAATAAAATGGATAGACCTTGATATAAAATAAATTTCATACATGCTAATTATGTGAAATAACACCATTGAACCAGTCAAAACCAGAATTATCCACCCAAGAGATGACCATTTTCATTTAACCAAAAAGACTCATCTGTAATTACATTCTCTCTTATATCATAGATAATCTGTCGCTTTAGCAAAAAAATAACAGAATCCAAAAAGCACTTCATCTCTGAAATGGTGATTTGATATTCTACAAATAAATTAAAATCTGAATTTGTTCTCTGTATTTGACCTGAACAATTTTAAGAGCTGCAAGCTCTCTGCCTACTTTTTGATATCAGGTGATCCACAGAGACACTCTTACTTCATGGAGCTTTCTGTGAGCTATGAACCTCTAAGTAGAATTCTTCTAAAATTGAAGGCATTAATGTACAGACAAAGGAAAAGATTCTTCAACATTATTGAAAAGGTATTTTTGATGGTTCCCAAGAAGCTAGTAGTAGCCAAGTAAGTCATATTAATAAATACTAAAAAAAAAAAATCACATAGGGTTTGTTTTATTTCCCCATTCAAAATGTGTAAAAGTTGGCATTTTCTGAAAAAGCAAAACAGAGGCCATTGCCTCCTGGAGAGATAATGGTCCGATGGGTCTGGGCAGTCAGCACAGTAATGAGTCCTTTCTGTGGGACCACCCACGGACACCAAGGTCATCAGCAAAGCAGCACCCGGGTACAGTCAGTCTAACAAGGCTCTGATACTCTTTGGCAGCTGCCTTTGTCCATTTGGGGACTCTTGATCAGCATGTTAAGGAGTCCAGATTGTTAGTAGAACAAAGAAAAATATATTAAGCAATTCAGCTACACAGATTGTAACAAACTAGTCAACCAATATAACAGCACTGGACAATTGTTAGATTTGCGAAGACAGCCTGAAGTTTTCAAGGCGCTACAGTGATAAGGCGCTGCTATCAATCTGGACGGAGTCAAATGCTATCTGCAGTGTGCTGGGTGGCTCTTGGAATAAGTCACACAGACATGGTGTTAAATGCAAGTGGGGCAATTTCTTTTCAAGTCTTTGGGCAGAGGAAGGAGAGAAAAATATACACAAATGTTGGTACTTTAATGTTAATTAGGAAATAGCCATCTTCTGTTTCTTCCAGATGCTATGTTAACTAAGGAAGTAGAGTCTTCCTTCTCTGGGGGCTGTTTTGACGCAAGTGGCCTTTCTGTTGTGTGCACACCCCCTCACCAAGAGAAGGGAAAAGGAGACCCTTTCCACAGCTGGGGCGGCGCCTCTCCAGTGCACTATCACACAGGCCTCAGAGACCACCTGCTCTCATGACAAGAGAGAAACTGAGAAATACCACCAGAGACACAGAGAGGCCAGCCCCTATGTTGAGTTTAATTTCCCTCTGTGACCCTCACTGCCCACCCACAAAGGCCAGCACCATGTCCCTTGTTTCATGACATGCCCCAGTGTCCACTTTGATACCTGGCCCATGGCTGGCTCTCAGATAATATTTGTGGACTGCCCTACTACACTATAAAAAGTCTCCAAATGTATACTGCACATTGCTCTTGTCTGTAAAAAAAGCAGAGGATTGTATTCATGAGAGGGAAGGCGGAGCCAGTAAGCACATGGCCCAGAGGATCTGGCCAGCATTCATGTGAATCAGACTGAGCAGGTTTTATCAATGTGTGTGGGTCCAGCCAGAGGGATGGCTGTGGGACCCCACCCTTGAGCGTTACCACTGGGTGTGTGGGCTCCCAAGGTGCATCTCCAGGTGCATCTGTGACTCCACTTCCCCGATATACCTGCCTGTGTTTGATCCTACCATGTTCTCAAATGCGCTGTGGCTGGCCGGGCCCACACCCACCACTCCACCCAGCTGGTCTGTCCCTTCACTTGAGAAATGAGCAGCAGGCCTGGCTTGCTGATGAGTTCCATGGGTGGGTCTAAAGGCCCTGCGGTGAGCCAGACTGGCCCCTGTACCCCCTGCTCCTCCCATCAGAGATAAGACCTGCAGATACACCCTCTAGTCACAGGGAAAGTGAAGTCCATGGAACATCACAGCTCAGCCCAAGACACAGTGGAGGATGGCCAGTAAGGAGGAGGAGAGGTGGGAGAAAACTCATGGATGCCGTTCTCTGAGCTGTTCTGAAGGAATAAAGAGAGACGGGGGGCCGAGCTGACAAGAGCAGTTCAGGGGGAGGGAACAATCCGAACAGTTTGGCAAAGACGGAATACCCTAAAAAAGCTAATGATGTGTGGGTAAATAAGCACCCTAACATACTGGATGTATGGACACATATATAACCATGTGTATATGTATATATGGACATATATAGAACCATACATAAGTTCTGAACAGGCAACTTAACTTCAGAAAATTATGCTAAGAAAGTAAACAGATAAGCAGACGAGGTCACGGGTAAGCACAACCCAAGAGCATTGTTCATAAACATCACTTCGCTGAGGACGCTGTGGATCTAAAATGAGTCCACACAGAGCACGGACATACGCTCACTGTGTACTGTTGGAGGAAGGAAGCAACTGCGAAAAAGCCCCTGGAAGTGGTGTTTCTTTGCCCCGTGTCTCCATCCCTCTCCTATGGGCACAACCTCTTACAGAGGCTCTCAGGCTCGCTAAGTATTTGTTGACATGCGTGAATTCAAAGTAAGCCAAGGGTGTGGGGGCTTAACTTAGTTACCTTCAAACAGCCATGGAGAAGGTTGCAAGGAGAATAAGAAAACCCATCAAACAAATCACATGTACATAGTAAGCTAAATTTCACTGGGAAAACGTGCAGGTCTACCCTGAAGACTGCAGGGCTTGCTGCCCGCTCCCCCGCACCTGACAGCTAATGCTCCCAAGCGTTCTGTCAGTTCCCAGGACACCGTGGTGCAGTCAAAAACTCATTTCTATTTTAGATTCCGGACAAACACAACAACAAATTCTCGGGCTTTAAAAATGGACACGTTGCTGCTATGTTATTTTACTGAACTGTTGACATCATCCCAAAAGGATTATTTTTTCCCAAACAGCTCCTTCAAAATAGAAAATGTATATATATGTATGTAAGGAGGAGCTCTTTACATGCAAATACGTATTTTAGAAATAAACTTAGAGGTCAATGATTGGAAACTTATGGGGGCACTACTACAGTTATCTTAAAGTAATTCATGGTCTTCAATAACGACCACAACTTACTGTTTTAACTTCCTTTTCATTTTAAAGAAAATCTGAACAAACAAAGCTTTTGCTGCCCTCCGCTTCTCTGTCTGCCCTGCGGCCTCCCTCTGCTCGGAAGGCCAAACTGCCCCTGCACTTTCCCAAATCCCTCAGCGCCTCCCCTCCAAGAACAAGCGTAAGCCGAGTGGGCCACCCTGCTAGAGGCGTCCCCGTCACACTTTCGGAGGTTATGGGTGTACGTTTATGACTTCGATCGTGGAGATGGTCTCATGGCTATTTGCATCTGTCCAAACTCATCAAACTGTACACATTAAACAGGTGCAG